TCTACGTATAGCATTAGTGGACCGCTTTCTCTCCCGATGAGTTCTTCCATTAGTCGCGCAAGCCAGACCCCTTGTGTTGCTATCATCGAATCGGCGATGTATTCTGCTTCGAAGAAAGACAAAACAACTACCTTCTGTTTTATTGATTGCCAGCAGATCGCCCCGTCTGAGAGGAAGTAGATCATTCCACTGGTGCTCTTATGATCATCAACGTCACCGGCCATGTCACTATCACTGTAGCTGACCAGCTTGAGTTTCTCTTTTCCTCTCCCTGCGCAATATCTTACACCCCAGCCTCTGGTTTCGGCTACATAGCGCAGGATGCGCTTGACAGCAATTAGATGCTCCTCCCTAGGTGCTTCTATAAACCTGCTCACATATCCAACATAATAAGCAAGACCAGAACGAGAGTTTACCAGATAGCGCAGACACCCAACAATGCTGCGGTAATTGGTGGAGTCGACTGTCGTCGTAATACCGGCCTTCCTTAGTTGGAGCCGGGCCTCCATTGGCATCCTTGTAGGATTACTGTCCACAAGCCCAGTTGTGTCCAGCAGCTTCTTTGCGTATGCACTTTGGCAGATGGAGATGCCGGTAGAGTTCTGTAGCACTTCGATGCCGAGGTAGTAGCTGAGCACGCCAAGATCGCTCATCTCGAAGTTCTTTGACATCTCCTTCTTGAACCTTCCGAGGAATTCCACGTCGCCTCTAGTGATTATGAGGTCGTTGACATACACTCCCACGATCAGAGTCTGCTTGCCATGGTCGTGCGTGTACATGCCATACTCAGAGGCACAACGCTTGAATTTCAGTGACAGTATGGTACTGTCAAGCTTCGCGTTCCAGGCTCGTGGGGCTTGTCGAAGCCCGTAGAGTGCTTTGTGCAGAAGCAATACCTTATTGGGGTTGTCGTTGTCCAGGAAGCCAAGTGGTTGTCAGACGTAGCGGTCTCCTTCAGCTCTCCGTTAAGAAAAGTAGACTTCACGTTCATATGGTGAACCTCTCAAGAGTAATGGGCCGCAATTTTCAGCAAGAGACGGACGAATTCTAACCTTGCCACTGGCGCAAATTCCTCTTCGAAGTCCACTCCTTACTTCTGGACGTAGCCCTTCGCCACCAGACGGGCTTTGTGCTTCACAACTTCTCCTTTTTCGTTGCGCTTCAGTTTGAAGACCCATTTAAGCCCTATGGCTCGGTGTCCCGGTGGCATATCCTTCAAACTCCACGTTTGGTTCTCGGTGATGGATGTCATCTCCTCCTACATTGCCTTCAGCCAGCATGGGTTCCTTTCTGCTTCGCCGAAGGTGTTCGGTTCACCTCCTCCCACTAGGTCGTCCATCCTCTGGTAATTAGCCTCCAGATCAGCATCGTGATCGGCATCAAGCGTCGAATCCGCAGTCCGTGGTGTTGTGAATTCCACTGGTTCAGGGGTTGCACCTACTGGCGGCGGTGACGGCTCATGATGCTGGGCTCCTCCTTCTTCTGGCTCGGTGACGAGGTACTCCACCGTGAATTGATTTGGATTATGGTCTGCCTCGATCACGTCATTCAACTCCATAAGGTGCTTTCATCGAAGACAACGTCGAGAGACACGTGAGCTCGCCCACCTTCAGGATCATAGAGTTTGTACGCCTTGCTCCCGGGTTCTTAGCCGATGAAGACGACCTTCAGCCACCTAGGATCGAGCTTGGCGTGGTGGGGACGTGTTACCTTCATGTATGCGATGCAGCCGAACATGCAGAAATGATGTACCGCTGGCTTTTTGTTGTACCAAGCCTCATATGGCGTCTTCCCGTCGAGGCTTCGGGTTGGTGACCGATTGAGGAGATAGATGGCCGTCATTACCGCCTCTCCCCATAATCTCCCAGGTATCCCGGCCGTCACTAGCAATGACCTCGCTGTCCTGACGATGATCTGATTTTGGCACTCCACCACTCCATTCTGTTGGGAGGAGTAGGGCGCCGTTAGGTGCCGTTGTATGCCGATCTCGTCACAGTACTTACCAAAACTTGCCGAGGCGAATTCTTCGCCTCGGTCTATGCACAGCACTCACATCTTCTTCTCACATTCGGCCTCCGCTTGCTCTTTAATACGCTTAACCGCCTCACTTTTCGCTTGCAGCAGGGTCAGCCACATGAAGCAGCTTTTGTCATCGCCGTGTACAAGCTCCAATGGCTCATCGGTGCAGTAGGACGTGGAAATGATGTACCATTGGCTTTTTGTTGTACCAGGCCTCATATGGCGTCTTCCCGTCGAGGCTTCAGGTTGGTGACCGATTGAGGAGATAGACGGTCGTCATTATCGCCTCTCCCTAGAATCTCCCAGGCATCCCAGCCGTCACCAGCAATGACATCGCTATCCCGACGATGGTTTTAGTTTGGTGCTCCACCATTACATTCTGTTGGGGGGAGTAGAGCGCCGTTAGGTGCCATTGTATATCGATCTCGTCGCAGTATTTACAAAAACTTGCCGAGGTGAATTCTCTGCCTCAGTCTGTGCGTAGCACTCGCATCTTCTTCTCACATTCGACCTCCGCTTGCGCTTTAATGCGCTTAACCGCCTCTGCCGCCTCACTTTTCACTTGCAGCAGGGTAAGCCACATGAAGCAGCTTTTGTCATCGTCGTGTACAAGCTCCAACGGCTCATCGGCGCAGTAGGATGTGGAAATGATGTACCGCTGGCTTTTTGTTGTACCAGGCCTCATATGGCGTCTTTCCGTTGAGGCTTCGGGTTGGTAACCGATTGAGGAGATAGACAGCCTTCATTATCGCCTCTCCCCAGAATCTCCTAGGCATCTCGACCGTCACTAGCAATGACCTCACTGTCCCATCGATGATCTGATTTTTGCGCTCCACCACTCCGTTCTGTTGGGGGGAGTAGAGCGTCGTTAGGTGCCGTTGTATGCCGATCTCGTCGCAGTACTTACCAAAACTTGCTGGGGTGAATTCTCCACCTCGGCCTGTGCGCAGCACTCACATCTTCTTCTCATATTCGGCCTCCGCTCGCGCTTTAATGCGCTTAACTGCCTCTGCCACCTCACTTTTCTCTTGTAGCAGTGTCAGCAACATGAAGCAGCTTTTGTCATCACCGTGTACAAGCTCCAACGGCTCATCGGCGCGATAGGATGTTCGAGACGGAAAGGGTATGCTCCTCTGTTTGCCGATGAGGCACCCGTCGCACAGCTTGTTCATGCCTTTGATTGTCGGCAAATTGTGCACTATCTCCTCCTTCTGTAGCTTCTCTAGAATAGGAAAGTTTAAGTGCCCGTATCTTGTGTGCCACCTCCATGATACCTCTTCGGTCTTGGCCGGGAGGCTAACGGGTTGCTCTATCTATAACTCCAAGATATAAAAACGGTTTGTCGTGCCCCGAACCTACGTGAGAAGCATCGTTGATTATCGCAAATTTTGAGTAGTTCGCGCTTGATGGAAATGAAGCAGCCTGTTTCATCGAATTTAGCCAGGCTCATAAGGTTAGCCTTGAGGCTCGGGATGAAGTAGACGTCGGTTAGCTTGCGGTGCTCGCCTCCCTTGCTGACGAACAGGATGGTGCCGTGCCCTTCGATCTCGACGACGGAGCCGTCGCCGAATTTCACCGTCTTACGAATCCTCGAGTCGAGCTCAGAGAATGCAGATCTAGCCCTGGTCATATGTAGACGTCCTCCAAGATACCTCTTCGGTCTTGGCCGAGAGGCTAACGAGTTGCTCCATCTCTAACTCCAGAGGATGTAAAGACGGTTTGTCATGTGCCGAACCTGCGTGAGTAGCCGTCGTTGATTATCACAGACTTTGAGTAGTCCACGCTCGATGGAAATTAAGCAGCCTGTCTCATCGAGTTAACCCAGGCTCACAAGGTTAGCCTTGAGCCTCGGGATGAAGTAGACGTTGGTCATCTTGCGGTGCTCGCCTCCCTTGCTAACGAACAGGATGGTGCTGCGCTCTTCGATCTCGACGACGGAGCCGTCGCTGAATTTCACCGTCCCGCGAATCCCCGAGTCGAGCTCGAAGAATGTAGATCTAGCCCCGGTCATATGTAGACGTCCTACAATATACCTCTTCGGTCTTGGCCGAGGGGCTAACGGGTTGCTCTATCACTAACTCCAGAGGATGTAAAGACGGTTTGTCGTGCGCCGAACTTGCTTGAGCAGCCGTCGTTGATTATCGCAGATTTTGAGTAGTCCGCGCTCGATGGAAATGAAGCAGTCTGTCTCATCGAGTTGACCCAGGCTCACAAGGTTAGCCTTGAGCCTCGGGATGAAGTAGACGTCAGTCAGCTTGCGATGCTCGCCTCCCTTGCTGACAAATAGGATGGTTCCGCACCCTTCGATCTCGACGACGGAGCCGTCGCCAAATTTCACCGTCCCGCGAATCCCCGAGTCGAGCTCGGAGAATGCAGATCTAGCCCCGATGATATGCAGATCGAGCCATCGCTGGTGCTCGTGTTGCTCACGTCCCTCTCGCCGATCTGAGTGAACACTCGCTTCTCCTCCCAACTGGAGCTCTTTCTCGTGTTCGACAACGTCGTCGATTACCTCCACCTCCGTGGATTTGTAATCAAAATTGGGGATGCATGCACTTGCTCGTCCTCCTCAAGCCATTCCTCCTCCGTTACCACTTGTTGACTCTTGCAATTCGGAGGAAAATGTCGACAAAAAAACTGGCCGAAGGTTTCTTCGAAAGAAAAATAGCAGAAGTAAAAGGAGAGAGGGAAAGAGATTTGCTCCATACTCGATGTTTTATTTCTCTTCAGTTGAATTCTTTAAATAACAAATCTAATTACAAAAATAGAAAAACTAATTACAAAAAAAAGAAAACTGGGTGAAGACTTCGCCCAAGTTTGCCAAAAATTGCAGCTAGAATTACGCTCTTCCATTGGCGTGAATTCAGAAGTTTTGAGACGTCAAAACATCCTAACTGAATAAGGAACATAACTTTTATTTAACAACCTTTATCCCTGAGTATTTTCAGGCTATTCATATGAAGATGTCCATATCTGAGATGCTATAATGTTGAGTCATCTTTCGTGCTTGCAGTAAAAGCAAAATCCTCCATGTTAGAAACATCTGGTCGAAACATCTTATTTGAAGTACTGACATTTTGAACTTTATGGCCTGATTTCTTATGTGTAATGACAGATGTGTTGTCATCAAATAGAACTGAATGTCCTCTAGTCATCAATTGTTCAACACTCAATAAATTGTACCCTAAATCAAGTAAAAATTGAACATTATCTAATTGTTTTATCTTACCATGACGGGTTTCAACTTTCACTGTATCTTTTCCTTCAACTTGCATCTCTTTTGTATTTCCAAGTTGCACCTTAATTTTTTGTGTCTCATCAAGCTCTTTGAATAAGGATTTGGTGCCTGTCATATGGTTCGAGCATCCGCTATCAACAAACCATAAGTCACCTTTTTTCGGATTAGTATCCATGTATGCCACAAACAACTTTTCTTCTTCTTCTTCATTCTCTGCTGCAAAATTCATTCGTTGATTTTTATACCAACAATTAGATTTTGTTTGCCCATGACTTCTACAATGGTAACATTGTATGACATTCCTTTGTTCATTGAATTGTCTCTATTCATCACTTCTCCATCTACCCCTGTTATCACGACCACCATGGAAGCTGCAAAATCCTTCTCTTCCACGACTTCTACCTCTACCTGCTAAATAAATATTTTCTCTTTTGTTGTTTTCATTGTTGGTTGTCTCCTTCACTTGTAGTGCCTTTTCTTTGTTCCTTTCTAATGATCTATTGATTCTTGCCTCATGAGCTTGAAACGAGCCCATCAGTTCATCAACTGAGAGTATGGATAGATCCTTAGCTTCTTCTATGGTAGCCACCACATGGTCAAACTTTGGAATCAAGCTTCTCAACACCTTTGCAACAATTGTTTCGTTTGAGATTTTTTCTCCATAGGTACGCATCTGACTGACTATTGCCATTGTTCTTGACAAAAAATCAGCAATTGATTTGCCATTCGTCATGAGTAGAGTCTTATAATCACGTCTTAGAGATTGCAATTTCACTGTTATGACCTTTGAATCTCCTAGAAACTTCTTATGTAGAATTGACCATGCTTGCTTTGATGTGGTTGCTACTGCAATTCGTGAAAAGATAGTCTTGGCATCATTTTTCTTGGTTTCTCTTAGTCTCTCCTTTTCTTCTATTGTGGGTTCTAATAGATCAACAAACTCGTGCTACACCAAGTCCCATAGTTCCTGCGATCTAAGCAAGGTTTTCATCTTAATGCTCCACCACTCATATTTCTCACCATTAAAGATTGGTAAACGGTGCGGAGGAAGAAAAACCAACTACTACCATTTTTGTTTTATGAAGAAAATAATCACTCACCCTCGTGTTGAACGAACTTGGCTCTAATACCAAATTTGTTGGGAAAAGGGACAGTGAAAGAGATATGAAAAGATAAAATGGATCAAAGGTGCTTTATTATCGTTTTGTGACTCCATGCTTAAAGGGTTACACAATTCCAGTATTTATATGCTAATACGGCGTACTAGAAATAGTAAATTATGGAAATCTAGATAAATTCAAATCTACTAACAATCTTCTAAAATCTTGGTAGTTTGAATATTTGAATCATATCTCAACTGCTTTAAATCATATCTTCATTTTGAATACTTTGAATCATATCTCAACCACAGCAACTTCGTCATCCGTACAAGGGTACCTTACCTTTCCCTACAAAATAAGAGTAGAACATGATTTGAGTATTTTATGATATATTTAGTAAGTAAACTCACTATTGGGATTGGAAAATGCAATTTTATGTAATCATGATTGAGACCAGTCCTTTACTTATCATCATGGCCTTGGTCTCACTTTCAAGTTCGGACTTAAATTGGATGCGAATTACTGTTCTACATACAACCCTTGCATGTCTGCATGAACTCCAAAGCGAGCTCGTATACATATCATTTTACCTAGCCTTCAACTAGTGTACCCTCACGCCACAAAAAAACTTGACATAAATCATGGCATATACGTATGATGCAGATCATAACTTTGTTCTTTCATAAATAACTTTCATGAATAACATATTTTGTTTAACAGTATTTCATAATCCTAAACATGTTAACATGGTGTGTGTAACACAACATAGAGAAGTATTATGTATCATAAAACAAAGTGCAACAACCCAAAGTAAGGATAAAACTAACTCAAGGAAACCAAGAGAATGATTTATTGCATTTATGTAAGGACAACAGTCTTGAGCAAGAGATTTCTATACCCTAAGAATTAATTTAAGGATTTAAGACATTAGAAAAAGGATTGGAAAAGAGGAGGCAAACGAAAAAGACAAAAAATGACATTTCTTTCCAATTTATAAAGAACTTTCCGAATGTTTAGTTCATTATCTAGAATGAATTTTAATATGCTCAAGAAAGGAAAAATGACCAGCTGAGGATGAAAAAATTTATACAAAAAATTTATATTTATTTAGAAAAATAATAATAAAATATAAAGAAAATAACACATTACCAAAATAACCCTTAAAATAGGGATAATTATGAAAATGCCCTTCTTTCCACAATCATAACTTCCGCAATGACCTACACACAATCTATTGAATCTCACCAGCATTGGATCCCTCTAAAATTGGACAAAGTCTAGAATGTTGACAGATCACCTCAGAATTAAAATTGGAAGTCAATAGCTTGCTGATCAAAGAGGATGTTTCTAATGGATTATCTAGAAAATTAATCTAAGAAAAGGAAAATTCACGTTTTTAGATGAGTAGTAGACAGAGGACTATTTTTCAAAATTAAGGTATCATTCAAAAAGACATTCCTCCAAACAAATTCTTTTAGCTTGAGGAAACGATAAAGAAGAGGTTCTATGAAATAATCGGGCCTTGAAAACTCCTAGAATCGGCTACCCAATAATGAATCACGAGAAAACAGATTTGAGACAAACTTTGGAGGCGCATATCTTAGAATACGATACACGAGAAGGTATGAAATCAATCACTAGCTCTTCTTTGTAACACCAACTTTAGTTTCCTTTAGAAATGAGGGAAGAAACATTGTAAGTCAATCCCTAGCTCTTCCTTCCAGACCGATTCTTATGAAAAAATTTATGGTTCTAGAAACTGTACACAATAAGAAAAATGTGGAAGAAAATTTGAGGTAATTCGAGAAAGCTCGAAAACAAAGGTCCTGAACATCAACGATAAGGTAAGTAGCCATCTTGGACTTTTCTTAAGAAATACTTGTAGCAATAATTTAGATTTTTGTATGCATCTTAAACCAAGTATGAATTAAGGGTATATGAAAGAAAAATACAAAGAAATGTGAGTTAAGGCCCTTAACGATCAAATTGCTCGAGGTTTAAGTAACACTAAAATAACCCCTCTATTTACATTTCCTAATATAATTTCTATTAAAAAATATAAAATCATAATAAATCTATAATATTAAAACTTAGGATCAAATTCTATTTTTTATTTTTAAATTTTTCATAAAACATAAGTAGTTGAAGTTGATTAAGTATAATAAGTTCATATTTATAATTAGCCTAAATGAAAACTAGTTACTAAATTT